TTGTTAGTGGCTTATTTTATTTGACAGTCTTTGTACATACTCGATCTGGTTTGTTACACTGAATTACCCTTTAATAGTGGGTGCATCACGCCAGACTCTTACCCTCCCCAGGTGGGTTGGATAATTGGACAAGCGTCCATATTGTTCAAGGTTTCATTACAATGAGAACAGAGACTCCTCGGCAGTGTGAGTGGGCTGCTCCTCCCAGTCTCCTGAGCTCCCTCACCCTGACCGTGGTGGCATCTTCTCCAGTTTCACTGTTCTCTGATGCTTTGCACATGCCTCAGCCTTGGTGCATTTGCACCTGTGGGTCCCCCTGCCTTGTGTCCTTCTAGCATCTGCTCACATGGCACCCTTCAGAGAAGCCTTCCTGGAAAGGCCATGTCATAAGAGAGAGAAAGACAGAGACAGACAGAGACTCCACAGAAGCAAGGTTGACTGTGTATGCCCTGAGCCATGCGTGGTACAGAGAAGAAATCTAATTGTGTTTGTTGGGAGAATAATTAAGTTACTGGTCCAACTCTCAGGAGCATAGACACTCCCCCATAATCTGACTTTTAGTCCATCCTCTGTCAGCATCCTCTCCTTCCTAAGTCTACCTCTACCTCCCTAAGAGATGCAAGGCCCCTTGGGAAGATACCTCCTGGGCAGTTCCCACTGAACTCCAGTATAGCTCAGCACCCCTTCCTTGAGTATCTATGCAGCCTGGTACAGAACCAGGAGAATAGAGAGTCAGGCTGACTCCTGAGCCAAGGAGTGCAGGTATATTTCCTCTGCCTGGGGCTAGCTGTGTGACTTTAGATTAATTACTCAGCCATTCTGTGCCTCACCTTTCTTGTCCATCCCTTAGAGAATCATGAAGATAAGATAATTCACTGGTGACTGGATTAAGTGTTTAAAACATTTCAGGCAGTAGAAAAAGGGGTGCCACTTAATGTGGGTCTGTTCATAAAAGGTCTGTCTGAGAGGATGCCACTGGAAAGCGGAATTGAATAGAGTGATTCTCTATAAGCCTATGGCAGGTCAGACTTGGGCTGCCGTTTGCCCCAGGAAAATCAATCAGTGGATATAATAACAGGATGCCAGGTGCCCGAGAAAAAGAGGTTGTGTTGATCCCTCTCAGTATCGCCTACACAAGTGTGTGAGAATACTCACATGCACAACCAACCTCAGGAAGACACTGAACCTGAGCAGAGGAGTTGGAGGGATGCATGCTGCCTTAGAAAGGACACCACTGTATCCCAGCTTGGGTCACTCTAGGTGCTGTCTCAGCTGCTGCCAGGAAGCCTCGGAGTTAAGTGGTGCCAGGCCTGGCTGGGCGTTTGCTCATGATTCCAGCATTCAGAGGCTAAAGTAGGCGAGTCACAGGTTCGAGGCCAGCCTGGACTACATAGCAAGATCTTGTTCTCCCAAAATCAAAAGCTAAGCCTGCTCTCTCTGTAACACTGGCCTGCATCCTCCCCTATAGGGTAGCAAATGGAGCCCCTTCCAAGGCTGGCTCCGGAGAGGCTGAATGAGATCATGGCTGGGGTGGAGTTGGCACCTGGGGTTCTAAACACCATGGCTGGCTCATAGCACAGGAAGACTGCCAGAACAGCACTCTCCACTGAAAGCCCCAACATTGCCTGTCACTCTTGAAACCATGCGCCGCTCTTCTCTCTGCATGGCCCCAGAAGGAACAATCAGACAATGCGGGAATCACGGTCTCTACATGGCTGCCTAGTCCACCCACCTGGTCCTTCCTGAGCTGCCGAGGGCCCTCCTCATGCAGACATCAAGGGCAGAGGACAAGCCTTTACCTGAATATAAGAGTGATACAGGGACTTCCTCCACACATACCTGTGCACATATGCATATACCTATGCATGCACACACAGATACGCACAGACAGATACACACACACACACACACACACGCACATGCACACGCACACGCACACACACACATCCCTTATCTGTGCAAAGCATCAGAAGGCTCCATCCCCAGACACCTGCTCTGAGCCCTTCCCCATTATACAACCCATCATGGATTGTGTCAGCCTGCATTAGCAACCAGGCTCATCACATTAGGCAGCAGCCCTGGGCTGGCAGCTACCACTTTGAAATGCCTCTTTATCCTGTTGTCACGCTTCCCTCGGCATCGAACACAGCCACAGGAGCAATATGAAGACCCAGTGCAGACGTGAAGGACCAGGTTAGAGGTCAAAGATTTCAAGGAAGCCTGACAGATCCCAGTGACCTGGGCCCTGGGGCCTGCTTGGCACTCAGGCATCTCTGGGGAGCACTGAAAGGCTCCAAGTGTGAGCATCGTTATGACCAACTGTGAAAGTGTGGCATGTGTTTCTGAAAACACACAAAATAGATGCCATGTCCATTTACTATGAAAATAGGTGACGCCTATGGAGGCTTCATACCCACAGCATGATGTGACATCAGTAAGGTCTCTCTTCTACAAACTCTCCTGGCTATTTATCCAGGTCACTTACAAAGCAATGGTCAGTTCCCACCCTGACCAATGGTTCCTGCCTGATGTAGATGAGGAAAGAACTCTCACTTTGCGGTCAGATGGGTCCTGAGATCAAATCCTGTCTGTGCCTTTTCATATCCCGGCCGCCCTGGGACAGTAACTTGGCCCCATCTCCTGTTTGTAATCCTGCTTTGTGCCGCCGTGCCTGTTTTACGGTTGTTGAAAGAATTATCTGGGATTCTAGGTAAAGAGTGCCTGGCCAGGCACTGATGCTTCAGTAACTGTTTTGGGACCAAGTTCATGGAGGAAGCTCAGTTTCATCCTCTGTGAAACCTCAACTCACACAAGCCCTTAGCCGGTGTTCACTCCTGTAGACTCACCTGTATAAGTCGGACCTCAGCTGCCTAACTCATCTCCTCTATACCTCCAGAAAGGTCTGATCAAAACGTGACCTGGATCATGTCTGGCTCATTACAAACACATCCATTCTTCCCACCTTCTTGAGGTAGACAGAGCCCCCTTCTTACAGCTCACCCCCAATCTACCCTATCACATTTGCTCTCACAATGGGCTCTATCACCACCCCCACTTCAACCCCATTTCTCTGGCTAGAATGGCTGCTTTCTGCCAGCCTGGTGACCGTTACTCATCTTTCATGTCCTCACACACTCACCCATCCTCAGGAAGCCTCTCAAGACCCCCATATATACTATGCCTCCTCCCTGGGGCACTGGCTCCGTTGTTGTGTGAGATCATTCACTACCTACCCCAGCTACGACAATCATATGATGGTGAGGCCGGGGTCCTGTGCTTACCGGGTGAGCCCTTGGGACTTTGTACAATGCTCAGTTGGTGTTGCTGAGAGAGTGGGTGGTCTGGATAGTGATTGCCTCAATAAATCCCCATGACCATCTTCCAAAGGAAGAGGACAGAGCAGGTTTAGCTAATGACCAGAGCATGGGACACATCCCAGGCCATCAGTCAGTGGTTACTTACCGGCCTCCTGCTCCCCGACATGTGTTGCAAAACCATCATCCATGCCTGGCATATGAGACCCAAGAGATCAACCCCTCCCTCTATCCTGGCACCCAGCATCTTATCAGTCTAGATCTCCCTCTATGTTTTCTCAGAGCTGTTCACAGGCTCCTGTGTGTGTGTCACACACACACACACACACACACACACACACACACACACACAGGAGCCTGTGAACAACTCCAAGGTGGAGCTGGGAGAACTCTGCCTTCTAGAAGGTGCTGTCAGGTAACTGCCCTTCAGGGAGCCAACCTGCTTTGGGCCACCCCTTCTTGCCACCTGGGGTGATGTTGATTCAGAAGCTAGTCTTAATCTACCACCTGCTGTCACATCAGCCAGGGCTCCTCCACGAGGCTTTGTAAGGGCAGGGAAAGATCCATGTGGCTCTTTGTCTCCTTGTTTCTATTGAAGAGCTGTCCCTGTGCTTTGCTTATTTGGGTTGTTTAGAAGAGTGTGTGTCTTTGTTCACATTTTCCAGAGAGAACTCTCTCTCAGCGGCCTAACTCCCCAGCCCGCCGTGAAGAAAACACTTACTGACTTTTTCTCTACTGAGTCATTCAGTAAACACTTCCTGGACACCTTCTATATTTCAGAAGAGTGACCATATAATTTACCGTCCAAACAGGGGGCCAGTTTGAATGTGACACTACGTAATTGGCACTGGAGGACAATAGTTGTAAACAAAGATGTGCCCAGGCCAACCAGGATGCAACAAGCCCTTATGTACCAGTGGCTCCTTTGGGGTCACTAGAGTCTTGAGGGATGGAATGCGTTCCTAAAGGTGCCCACAAAGGTTAAGGGTAAAACTAGGAGGGAACCCAGGCCATTGGCGCATGATGTGAGGACACAGAAAGATGGATTGAGGTTGAAGCTAAATGACACATTCCTAGGATTTTCCTCCAATCTCCTTCCTGAGTAAATTTCTCGTTTAACAAAAAAAAAAAAGTACATATTAGCAACACTAAATGATCCCAGTAGGTCGGTGAATGTGTGTAAATGTGTGCATATATATATTTTGTGTGTGTTTTTGTGTGTGAAGCAATAATAACCAAAGAAGAGGTCATGAATGTGAGAGGAAGTAAAGAGGGAAGAGTGGTGGAAATGATGTAAACACAGCCTGCATGCACAATATTTTCAAAACATGAAAAAGTTTAAATTGAAAACTGTGAAGCAAACAGGCTGGGGGTGAGAGTTTGGGAGACTGTGTCCCCACAATGGAACCCAAGTCCCCTGAAGGGGACTGGAGAAATGTTTCAAGTTGATAAAGATTGAATGTCACCATCACCCTCTCCCCCCACCCCACCCCCCACCCACCCCTGCCACTGCCCCAGTGCCAGGTGTTAACAGCTGAAAGGCCCAGAACTTGGTGAGCACGGCATCTGGTTTCCGTAACTCTCGGCCTCGGGGTGGGACTTACCCTGTGGCGGTAAGGGCACAGCACGACCCATTTCCTGCCAATGAACACTTCCGTCCTGAGCACTGTGCCTCTCTCATCCTAGGTGCCCGTCCTGAGACCTATGGACCTGATGGTGGAGGCCACCCCACGAAGAGTGTTTGCCAATGCGCACACGTACCACATCAACTCCATATCTGTCAACAGCGACTACGAGACCTACATGTCTGCTGATGACCTGAGGATTAATCTGTGGAACTTTGAGATAACCAATCAGAGTTTTAGTATCCTTTCCTTGCGAGCCAATATAGCCCACTGGTCTGACTCAAGGGTATCCAGGTAGGAGGGGCTTGGGGAGAAAGAGGCAAAAGGGAAGGAACTGTCAAAAAGAAAATGCCTGGTGTCAAGGAAGAAAAACCTTACATCCTGGACGGGGCCGCAAGGCTAGCTCTGAAATGTAACCTAAAACCATTTATTCATGTGGTGAATTAGTGACCCTAATGCATGCAGCTTGACATAATGATCCTAATGCGGCTGAGGATGTCGGTACTTGTCTACAAGACACCAGGTTCAATCCCCAGCACCTCAAACAAAAACTAGAAGCACTCTTATCTTCCACTTAACTAGAATGGAGAAAAGACAAAAAGATTCCTGAGTGTCTATCTATAAGGCCAGTTCTTGACCTCATTCTACTCATCTTGCATTTAGTGATAAAGGCTGATCTTTGCAGCTGTTCTCGACCTGTGGGTCACGACCCCCAAAGACCATCAGAAAAACACGGATATTTACATTATCATTCATTACAGTAGCAAAATTACAGTTATGAAGTAGCAATGAAAATAATTTTATGGTTGGGGCTCACCACAACATGAGGAATTGTATTAAAGGGTCATAGCATTAGGAAGATTGAGACCACTGGTCTAGAGTATGCCCACCCAGTCTAACCTAAACCCTGACTCTTAGCTCTAGTTCAAAACTCAGTTCATGGTCTCCGCCCTCAGAGAGTTGGGTACTGGCTCCTAGTCAACCTTAATTCTGCCCTCCCAGCCCCACCCATCCATGAGCCATCTGTACTTCCTCTAAAATGAACCCCAGACAGCTGAGACACCTCCATCCTCATTCCTACCAACACTCACTGACATGGGCTGCCATTGTCTCCATCCCCTGTGGCTGCCCTGATTCCTCTCCTTCCTCACGTATACCCTGCCTGTCAGTTACCATGTGACCTACATGACATCCTGGCTGTGCACCTAACACTCCAGTAACTTCCTAGTCTGATTCCCTCTGACCCCTGCCATGTCTCTCTTGCCTCGTCCACTCTGCTTCAGCCATCCTACCATGTTTCTATTCCCAGCTAAGCTTTGTTCTTCCTCTCTTTGTCCCTGCTGTCCCTTCTGTCTGGAAATGTGTCCCCGGGGTTCTTTATTCCAGCCTCAGTCGAGTCGACCCTCACTGGAGACTCTCCCCCTAGTTTCCAAGTGGCTGCCTGCAGCTGTATTCTTGCTGTCTTCGCTATGCTTACAGGGATTTGAAATGTTTTAGTGTGCGTGTTTTTAGTTTGCCCCCCTGAGAATGTAAATGCTATGAGAGCAGGAGCCCCGAATGGCCCATTGCTGTATTCCAATGGATTCAGCATTCTGTACCTGAAAGCTGCTGCACACAGCAGGTGTGACATCATAGTCGGTGGTCAGAGTGCAGCCGTGGGAGACTCCCCACGGTGGAACCTAACTTGGAAATTTAACTTGAAAGGTGTTAAAGCGAAGCTGAGAAAATGGGTTAGTCAGTAAAGGGCTTGCTCAGTAATCATGAGAACCTGAGTTTTATTCCCAGAACTCAGGAAACATAATCCAGATGGGATGCCACCCACTCGGAATACCCGCACTCGGGAGGTAGAGGTAGACTCACTCTCCAGCCATCCTAGCCTATTGGTAAGTTAGAGGCTAGTGGGAGATCTTGTCTTTTTGAGGGGTGGGGTTATCTGAAGAGCGACAACCATACACGGGCATGCAACTCACATACGTACAGAGAAAGGATATTTGTGCAATGGGTACACAGCTCATTAGTCCCTACCACAGAGACATCCGATAGTCCCGGAAGGTTCTTAGGGAAGGTGTCTTTAACCAGGTTCCAGCACTGAGATACATCTGGAGACACTGAGAACTGGCTTTTGGGACTGTGACTGGACATCTACCATTGATCCCAGAACAGATGTAACACACTATATGAGCCTGGGAATAGCTGCCTCTGACTGCAGATTTTTCCTGGCAAAGCAGCTGCTCATAGGACGAATGTAGATGGCGCTCGCCTCTCCCTCCTCACATCTATTCCAAGAGTCAGAAATCTGCCTGGGCTCAGCCAGCTGTCACTCCGAGCGTATGCTTCCCCAGCCTAGGTGGCAAGTTTTCTGAATTTTGCCTCCAGGCCTTCAAGAGGGAATGGAACTTTCTCAGGCATTTGGGGAGACAGATGCCTTGGGGAGAATGCAAAGGGGACATATTAATAGTGCCGTTTAGGTTATCTTCTGCAGATGTGTGACAGCCTGCCAGATGCTGGCATACAAATGAGACCTTAGCGCTCACCCTTAACGCTGCCATATGTAAAATAATCACTGTCATCATGTGGGTGATGATAACTGATATCTATATAGTGCCTTTCAGCCAGACTGCCCCGGGCAGGAAGGTGTGCAAACGAGAGCCTTTTGCCTCTCAGCACTGAAGTGTAGCTCTGGAGGAGGCAGCGGCCCTTTCCCACAACATCCTCATAAAAGTATCAAGAACAGCCCTTGTCTTAAATACCTCCTGTTTAGCATCTTCTTCTGTTATGCCTTTCATCTGCCAAAGAGACAGGAGCATGGCTTGGGACGCCTGCAAAGCCTGGTGTGGGAACCACTGGGGTGGCAGACAAGATGCTTCGAAGAAATACATGGACTGTTTTCATAACTGTGTGTTAGTGATACTCAGAGGTAGAAAACACGCATCCTGTGAGTTCACAGATGCTAAAAATTCCTCTTAAATTACAAAGTATACATCAAGAACTAACTCAGTAAGTAGAAAGGAAGTCTGGTTGGGGAAATGCAGGCACAACACTGATGTCATAGCTCACAGCACAGGATTTAGAGTCTGGCAAGAATAGAGTTGTCTCACCCAGGCCCACCACTTTTCTGACTGTGAACATTCTCACAACATGCCTTTTATTTACCTACACACCCGTTCTCCACCTCATCCTCCATAGGGAAGAACTCTACCAAGGAATTGTGAGGTTGTGAGACTGACTTTCTCTCTCTCTCTCTCTCTCTCTCTCTCTCTCTCTCTCTCTCTCTCTC